TCTTGGAGATTGGTACATAACAGATGCCATTGTCTGTGGACATGGGGTGGATGTGACTGATGCCTATGGAGTGTGCTCTGAGATGTGGTATCCAACAAGGATTTTGTCCAGAGCAAGCAGCGAACTAAAATTCGCCAGGTAACTGCTCTGGTTTCCTTGTCAAGTTTTCTCCATCTAAACTAGTTGAAGATTGAAAGCAGAATATTAATAAAAGCAAGTTGAGCTGTCAACAAGGCACGTAACAAGCAATAATCCTCAATTGGCAACTCAAGAAACTCACCAGACAGCTTGTCAAAGCATAAAAGATGTTGATATCAACCTCACTGGACTTATCACCGTAGCCCAATATCACACACCCTATTAAGATTCTGCCCAATATTTCCATCTTTCTTCAGTTGTGATGAAAGGTTATCAACCTGAAATATGGAGCTAATTTTTGGTTAAAAAAATTTAGCCAAGTATCAATTTCAGGGAGTTTCTTGGAGGGTTTCTGTGAGTTCCAGTAAGTTCTCTCACATAATTATTTGCTGCTCGCAAATCACATATGCATCTGCAGTACCGCTCTCGAATAATCTTGTGCTCCCAGTGGCAGACATACTTCCCACTGCTGGTCTCATTTAAAAACCAACTGAGAATCAGATCAATTACTGCCAGCCACAAACTGCCCTTTACAGTACACTTAGTGGGGAAGGAAACAAAAAGATAAAGCTTCTGAGGACACCCATGTCGCACAGGTGACACCTCATTTGAAGTAAAATTTGACATTCCTAAATGTGTTGGTACTTTGCCTCATTATCCCAGCACACAAAAAATTCCACATTTGCTTCTGGGATTAAACAGGGGTTGCTGGCTTTTTCAGCAAACAACAAATTTCCAGTCAAAGAATGATCACTCCCCCCAAATCAGATCTATTGGAATTGGGTAGCAATTAAATCCTGTCTGGCTTTTTGCATCTAGCATTACATAGCTTTATTGAAGGTGATGCTCCTCCTGATCAATGCTCTCAACTTCCTCAAAAGACTACTGTTACTTAGCTTTATTTCTTATTTTCCTAACTTATATTTATCCTATGTACATCTGTAATGAAGTATAACTTTTTTTCCTTTATTTTCTCTATTTTTTGTACCTAAGATTTGTCTGGAGGTATGTTGAAGCTAACATGGCGCTGTGTGCTGGCGACATTGTACACTTATTGCTGTACTCCTTTTCTTTTGTAACTTGAGTACACGTGACAATAAATCTGATTGTAGAATGGCAGAGCAACAGAATTACAATGTCTATCATGTCAACTCTGTTTGCTCCAGTTGTGGAGTGCACAGAATGCAAGGATTATGCAGCACATGCTGTCTGATGGGTACCGCAAAACTCCCAAGATCAATGCAAACATCAGTACCTCATCTCCTACTGCTCAACAATGGTGCTGGTAGAAGAATGGGTTGCATTGTACCTACAGTTGGTATTAAGCAGTGGGGAGCATAAAACACAGTCACTAGCAATGCTTGCAGAGGGTAGCCCTAGTGTCTTAGTAATAGTCCTTAAAGGCATGCAGACCCTGAAATGAAGCAAATATTAAGTGTTCTCTAAGATATAGGCATCAGGGCAGTTTCCAGGGTAGCTGGTGCAGAATTATAAGATGCAATACTGATGATCACAGATAATTACTCAACAATGTTATGATAACACTGTCAAAATAACTTGTGACCTTACTGAAACACTGGAGATTCTTAGGGGGCTTGACAGAGTAGACGCAGAGAGATTGTTTCCTCGTGAGAGAGAATTTAGGGCCAGAGAGCATAATCTCAGAACATGGAGATGCCAGCCAGGACAGAGATGAGGGAAAATTTATTCTCTTAGAAGGTTGTCAATCGTTGGAATTCTTTACCACAGAGGGTTATCAAGGCTGGGTTGTTAATTCAAGGCTGAAACACATTTTTGATGAGTAAAGGAATCGAGTGTTATGGGATAAGACAGGAAAGTGGAGTGGAGTGGAGGGTTATAGGATCCATCATATCACCTATTTCTGCTCCTATACCTCATGGTAATGATTAAATGTTAACGAATGCAAATATGAATCTCACTACTCACTGGCAAGATCCTTATCCTGCCATTAAAACCTTAGGTGAAGAATCAGACTTTTATTTTAATCAACATCAGGAATCTCATTTTACTATCTTATCATACTTTCCCAATTGACTCAACATTTGGGGGCCGGGAAAACTTCGTTGCTTTTCACAAATTCTGCCTGAACTGCTGAGTTTTTACAGCACTTTTTGTTCTAGTATTTTTTAAAAACAAACTAGCACATCATGTCTTTATTCTTTAATCCAATGCCATTTTTCATTTAGATTACCCACCAATGATCTGTTGCTCTTTTTGGTGTAATTCTTTGACAGATATGAACGTTGCTCATTTACACACTTTTGACAAGGGGTTTTCGCTTGGAACGTTACCACATTGATTCTCTTGACAGATGCTGCCTTACTTGTGGGATGCTTTCAGAATTTTTGGCTTTTGTTTTTATTGTGTCATCCTCTTGGGTTTCAGAAGAAGAATGTACGTTCTCACACAAATTCAATCAGACCAACATGACAGCTAGGAGTGCTCATTTATTAATGCAGGAGTTTAGGACCCTTTTCTCTTAGCTCACCAACAGCAGCAAATTTCATTCTGGTCAAGTGCAGCACTAAGAACCTTAAAACCTTACAAGAATCAGAATGTCACTCCTCTGACCTTTGCAGACTCAATCAACATGTACTAGTTAAAAAGATTGTAGTGTGTAGCCTGCATATAAAGTTGAATTTCAGTTTATTTTCAGAAAAAAAATTTAGATGCAGAGATAAATGTAAATCAAAGATATTAGAGTATGCCAAGAAACACAAAAAATGCTGAAGAGTGGTTTGTTTCACTGTGGACAGTGCACTGGCACAGCAATGTGGACAGAAAACCCACTTTGGTCCCAATAGGCACTGCATATACACAAATTTGCCTGGGAAAATTCTCTCCAAACATTTCTCTATGATTGATAATTCCTTACCTGGCCTCTAAGTAGCGTCCTGTCACCAGCATTAGACCTCGGAGAGAAATGAATGTATCTCTACCCCAACAGCGGAATAATCCAGCAGCAAAATGTGGTAGCCCTTAGTAAGAAATTTGAAAATCCTATTTAGAAGAGATAGAATTGAACAAAATAAAAAAGGTGCAATTTCCTTTCAGCAAATCAATGTAGAAGGAAATTACTCCTGTTACATGGTATTCTAGTATCAGGAATTCACATTCGTACAAAATTACCTTGTGAGTTGAACACCTTTATCACATAATCAGTTTGCTATGGAGTCAAAATACTAAACAGTACTAGCTCTTTATGACAATGTTACCCTGAAAAGTTCAACAATTCAACGATATAGAAGATATCAAATTTGAACTGTCCCAAAATGTGAAATCAATGGACAAAATTGTTTCATTACACAGACTTGTTTTGATAGTTTTTTTAAAAAACTAAGTTGAGGTAGTTGTAAAACAGGAAAATTAGGATATTACAGGTTTCCTAGGATTCCTGAATTTCAGCTTTTGTGCAAAAGCTTACAATAAAATTTTCAATACATTTAAATTAAGTACAGGATCAGAAATAGCTGTTGCTTACCTGCTGCTAATGAAACACAGCACTGCTCGATCTCACCAGTAATGTAGTTATGTCTAGTCGGAACACCTTCTATGCAACCAGACAGTCTCGGAAGAGCAGGAAGTCTTCCCACTCCACACATTTGCAATGAACTCAGAGCAAGTTGCTTCACAAACGATGAGCCATTCTGCACAAAACTACAAGAAAATAAAAATTGTATCAGTAGAAATCTTAGCAATAAGAATTTAAAACTTTTCACCTCGTAAATGTCCACTTTTATTGATTCTTCCTTTGTGCAAATCCAACTACCAGCCTTGCCCGCCTTCTTAAATGAAAAATTTAAGTACATTTGGGAACCAACCAGCAATGTTACAGCTTTTGATTATGCACAACTAGTTAAACAAGTGAGGTTGGTTAGCTCATTTGCCTGGATGGCTGGTTTGTAATGCAGAGTAACGCTAACAGCATGGGAATTGAACAGCCGAGGTTACTACGAAGGATTCTCCTTCTCATCCTCTCCCCTCATCTGAGGCATGGTGATCCTCAGGTTAAACAACCAGTCATCTCTCCAATGAGAGATAGCATTATGGTGACTTTACGTGTTAGTTGAAGGAATGAATCACCATGGTCTGGATTTAATGCTAGGTCAGAAGGCAGGGAGAACATTAAATCGGGCAGTTTGCCTGCAATGTATCCTGCCTTATCCATCCATCCTGCCCCCACTACAATCACACCAGTGGCAGAAGGGTCTCATCCTGTTGGAAATGGTTTTGAACACCTCTGGGGAGACACATGCAGGTGATGGGAGAGGTAGGAAGAAAAGCTTCTTAATGGGGACTCCAGTGCTCCATTAAATCCAGCTGCTCAAGCTTTGCCACCAGGCCCTGGAATAATAGTAAATTTAACTTTACTACAAATCTGCTAAACAATAACTTTTTTTTACACCCCACACAATCTGAGGACATTCCAAAGCACTTACAAACCAATGGAATAATTTTGGCAGTGCAGTCACTGTTGTAATACATGAAAACATAACAGCCAAGACTTATGCCGCTAAATCCTACAAATGCTCATGCGAAAACCAGATGGACAAGTTATTAGCGACCAAGAACTTAGGAAATACCCTGTTCTTCTCTGAATATTTTATTTTCATCTAAAAGAGAGGACTTGATTGAGCATCTCATCAGACAGAGTGTCTAGAAATGCAGCTCAACTCAGTACTGCATTGAAGCATCAGGCAGAATATGTGCACAAGGCTCTGAAGTGGGGTTTGAACCCACAAACTTCTTGATTGACTGATTGATAAGAAAAGTGCTGTCATTAAGGCTCTATCTCCAGCCAAAAGAATAACAGGCCCTCGAAGCCCTGGGCCACTGTTATTAGGCCCTGATGTAGCTCTCTGTCCAGATTTTTCGGAACAATAAAATGGCTAAGCAGGTTAAATTATAAGGACAAGTTGAATAGTTTAGACAATATACTCTCAGATTATGTGGAAATCAGAATGATGAACGAAGGTTTGACAGATTTGATATAAAACCTTTTAAATCAGGAGGGGGAGTACATAACAAGACAAACAGAGTGGGTGCTATGAGAACTAACCACAAAATTAGAACAAGGCTATTTGGGGGTGATACCAAAAAACACTTCTTTACAGTTATGGTGTAAATCAGGAACACTCTTCTCGAAAGCTAACTCAAAAACTTATTTTTAAAAAGACATGAAAGTATATAGAACAAATGAATTTTACATGCAGATCAGGCAGGATGTCACCAAATGGCAGTACTGGTGAGGGACTGAATGGTCCTATGTCCCTAACAGTGTCATTGGATATACAATGCAATTCCTTCAAAGTCATTAACAAATTAATGAAAAGCGTTTACTGTCAGACTTGATGTCTCTTGCACATTCATTAAATTTCCTCTTTTCCTGGTCTAAAGCTTTTCTTTTAACTCTGTACACGTATAGGCTCTACAGGTTAAGATATTAGCCTCCTAACCTTTTGCACTACCATTACACTTCACCACCAATATATTTTTGTTCCAGCTTTAGCATCAGACGCACCTTGACATTTGATTCAACGTTACATCCACAAGAGTTTTGTATGCCCCTACAAGGATTGCATCGAAGTAGCACGGGATAAGGTAGCGAGGTAGGTTTTTGACGAAAGCAAACATGGCTTCAAACCACTTACCGATCTATTAGAAAACAGAACATTATATGATGTACTATGTTTCTAGTACAATATAAAATGTTAGTCAAATGTTGATTTGCATTTTTAAAATCACAAGCCATGACCAAAAATTTTCATTTCTGCAACACAAGTGCTTATAATGTAATAAGTGATCAAACTGCATGCATAGGTCAAACTCAAAATGCAAATCACTTGATATAAAATCATTTATTAAAAATTCATTCATTAATGGGATGTGGGAGACACCAGCTAAGCCGGTGTTTATTGTCCATTGCTAGCTGCACTTGAGAAATAAATGGTGAGTTGAGTTATGTTCCACCCAGTCATGTTAGATATATAATGAGATTTTGATGGGATCTACATCTCACCATCTCACCAAATTGTACAGGCTCCCTGTCTCCTAATCTGCTCCCAGTTGTAAAATTGCTATGCTTACAAGTGTAAGACACATCTATTTTTCCTGAAAAGAAGAACACAAGACCTATGACCTCAGAATGCCTCCCAGCCACTTTACCTGTATGTTTCTTTGGTGAATTTTGAGGGATCAATAATGGTTGAGGCACAAGGGGAAATGCTATGGTCTCCGAAGGAAAGTCACAGTTTTTGGTTTTCCCCCAGCCGAGACCATTGACTAGGACAGGTTTAATGGTGTGGCTGAAATACGCCACATTCAACAGCACAGCACCCCCTTTGCACTGGAGTGTCATGCCAGATTATCTGCTCAAGTTTCTGGAGTGGAACTCTCTACCTTCTAACTCAGGAGTAGAGTGCCAACTGAGCTAGAGCAATTACTCTGTGGTTAAACCTTTGAACGAGTAGAATTTCTGCAAAAAAAGTAACAACCAGCACTTGACATTTAAGTGTGTTGGGTTTCTGCATTTCAATTCTTTATTCAGTACTACACCTTTAAGGGAAAGGATTCAAATGCATGTTCTAATAAAATTTGTTAACAAATGATAACAGTTGATTAAATTGTGCAAGGACTTTTATTGTGTACTGTTCTAAATTTGGGAAAAGGAGACAGGTGTCTGAAAACTGGATTTAGAGAGATGACTATTGAGAAGGAATCTGAAGGAGGAAAGTCAGATAGGGATCAAGGTCGCTGAAGACATGACTCACAACACATCAATTAAGCTCATACCTCTTCAAGTTTGCCTCCATGTGCAATCAAACGATTAGAAATATAGTCCATCATCCAGTCTCCAGCCCTCAGATTTTCACATAACGGATGTCCAAGGTCATTCCTAGGTCTAATATCCGCAAGTACTGATATAAACCCTAAGTAGAGCACAACAGTCTTAGTTCACGTTTGCTGCAGAAATGTAATTCCTTATTTTTACTTAAAAAATAAAGGTGTTGTGTTCTGATTGATCGTGCAAACTATAACCCCCAGAAAACATAACTGAAATTTTAGAGGCCAGCTGACTTTTTAAAATTTAGATTTCCATCGGCAGTTTACCATTAAACTAAACTTAAACTGGAAGTTGACTTGGACTTGGTCTTGGAAGAGTAGCAGTGCCACCCAGTGTTTCCAACAGATACTACACAGGCAATTATTATATGCTTTCTTTTTATTTCCCCAAATACTCTACCCTGAAGCTGAAAGCATTGGTTATTAACTGAGAAACTGTTGTTGAATCCAATGATAATCCTGTAGTGTAAATTTGAACAGCGAGTAGTCAGTGGCCTAATCATTGAAGCTTTATCCACACGTGCACTTTCTAAAATGGGCAGCTGGACAGCAAAAGAAACTCTGCTTCTTTTCGTTTTGTAACCTGAGGAAAGCGAAGGTAATTGTGACCTCCTACTCTTCTACACAGGGTTGAACCTGCACCTTGCTGGTATGTACACCTATCTATTCACTAGCTTAAGCCAGCTGAGATTCTAGGAAAGCTCTGGTTTTAAAATCGCTGCTCTGCTGTTACCTCCTTCTATCCTTCTTTACCCCTTTCCCAACCACCACAGCTCCCTTACTGGTTGTTCAGGTTGGTTTTCACAATTTGACAAAATACTTACAAAATTATAGAAAGAGAATCTGTAATTAAGTTGCCTCTTGAAAATGTTGGAAATTCCTCACCCAGTTTATCTGTGCAGCTTTATAAGGAACAAATGAATATTACACAGAACTTCAATAAATAAAGATTGCTGCAGTAACGGTGTTTCCCCATATTAATTCACAATAAATCTGAATATCTGGATAGAGTGACCATAGTTTCAGAAGACCACGGAGCTGTTCTCTCATTAGACAGAGATGACTGGCGGTGGTCTAACCTGAGGGGCACCAGGACTCGGGCAAGGGGAAAGGTTGAGAAAAAGAGTGCTTCTTGGCAACCTTAGCCAGGAATCGAATCCATATTGTTGGCTTTATCTGGACCACAAACCAGTTGTTCAGTCAACTGAGCTGAATGAACCTATGTTTTTGGTTGCATTTATCCGGATAAAGGTCCATGTACCTTGCAAACCTGCATACTTCAAGGCTCCAATATTTGGAATACTATAGCAGCCGCCTCCATCTTCCTGTTCCTCAAAGTCACATCGGTAAAACAGCAGATTCAGATCGGCCAGTGTAATATCGGAGGCAATACTGTTGGTTATTTGTAAACAGAAGCACGGGATCAAGTGAACACAATACAATTATAGCAAAACAATACTTTAGCTACAATGAAAAGCAACTAATTTATTCCTTCATCTACATAACTTTTTTTTAAAAAATTCTTGCACATGTAGGATTGACTGGCACAGCCAATATTTGTTGCCATACTTAACTGTCCTTGAACTGGGGGGGCTCACTGGGCCACTCCAGAAGGCAGTCAAGAGCTGGCTATATTACTTAAGAGTCACATCTTGGCCAGATCAGGCAAGAATGGCATATTTTCTTCCCTAAAAAGGGAACTAGATGGGTTTTTACAATAATCAATGATGGACATCATGGCAACCATTACTGAGATTAGCGTTAGACATTTTCTAAGCAACCTGTTATTATTGCAAGTGGCACTCAAAATTAGGCTTCTGAGTTTGGACCATAGACACTACCACTACTCCATAAGGCTCAATATCTGGTATAGATTTTTTTAATATCAACCTGTCCAGACATGATATACCTCTGGAGCAGGTGGGGCGTGAAGGTCTTCTGGCTCAGAGGTAGAGACACTATCACCACAACCACAAGGGCCCTGAGATTAACTTTAAATTTGTCAAGTTAAATTCTACCAGCTGCCATGAGAAGATTGAACTCACGTCCTCAGTGCATTAGCCTGGGCCTCAAGCTGATTAGTCCAGTGACTACCACTAACACCAGAAGGAGTAAGACTCCGAAAGCTGGTGTTTTCAAATAAGCCTGTTGGACCACAACCTGGTGTCATGTGATTTCTGGCCTTGTTCAGCCCAGTCCAACACTGGCACCTCCACATCTTAAATAAGAATAATCACACATGCAACTCTTTCTAAAAAGCACAGTTTGGTAGGTGTTCAGGGGTCTAGCAGTTCACAGAAGCGACAGAGCGAGTCTGCTACACTTCAGAAGTAGACTTGTGATTTCTGATTACACAACAGAATTTGCAGCAATTTCTGTAGAACTGAAACCCTCCGATAATAGAGAGTGTCTATCCCCTTCATCTTGATGCTTCACAAGGTAAAGTTTGAAACACGTCATTCAAAAGAATGTGGGCAAATGGTACACTTTATGAGCTATTAGTAGAAGCCACGTTATATTAGAACTTTAGAAAACAATGATACCAAGACTGCAAAACTGTATTAGAAGGAACAGAATCTCAAAACTTGAGCAATTTATAGAAAGTACTGATATTAAAATTTGTTTATGATCACTTGTCAGTTCTGATGCATTTTTGTCATGCTTAGCTGTTAAAACACAATTGTGTTTAAGCTAGTCCATCCACTTAAATGTCCTATGATAAATATTAAAAGCAGAGAATGCTGAACTCTTCAGCAGGCCTAGAATTATAGGGGATTCCCCAACACCTCTACAAGTCTGCCCAAAACCCTTCCAGCCGCCACCCAGCTACAGGCTTGCCCCGATCTCTCCACTAACCCTGCCTCATGTCTACCTCAGTTTCCCCATGCCCACCAACCCCACCCCCCATGTTTGCCTGAACCATCCTGAACTTGGCCTACTGGCATCAGCCTGTCAACCCACTTTAGACACAGAACCCACTCAACCCATCAGCTCTGTCCAAACCCTCTTCATCCTCAGCACTGCCCTGACCACCATGCTGCCTACAACCCCAATTACTCACACCAAAGCCAGTCAGGAGAGTCTACTAGGCAGCACTGTTGTTTCCTCACAGCAGAATGCCTCTGTATTTTCCATGTGCAGATGCCAAAGATATTTGGTCAGCAGCAAGAATGGACCTAAGGTAATAGCTCTGTCTGCAGAAATCTTGGACAAGGGTCTTCATAGGAAGCCACACCAGCACTGGGAATGGCCACTGCTTCATCCTCCTGCTTACTTCTTTCCTGGCCACTCTTCCCAAGTCTGTGGGAGTCCATTCCTTCAGGACCATTCAAGAAGGCTAAAGACAGTATTGCTGTGTAACTACTTACTTTGTGAGGATGACATTAGTCAGCTGTAATTTGTGTTTTTGGCTTGATGACCAATTTCACAAGTAATCTTTAATTATAGAATTAAAGAACTCCAATTATACCTCAGAAACTAGTGTCAAATTATACTTGGGATATGAAAAACTAAGAATTTTTTGGCCAAACTTCAGGTGTCAATATTTACACGAGATCAACTATTATATGAGTATATATAGGTGTTTCTTACAAGTTGATACAAATTGAGTTGTGTTTTCAGAGTTTTGTTTTAATTTAGCCATGTGCACTCCAACTACATCAGAGAAAATCTGCCACTTACGATTTAAATGATTGAGTCAGTATGGTTGAAGGAGCATCATCAGGAATACTGCCAACTTTATAGTGAGGGCTGAATTGAGCAAGATGATGGCGGAGAATTCCAACTGTTTCCTGGGCCTTTGCATCAAGACTTACCCTACAACGACATGATTGTGAAATAAAGAATACTTTACAGAAAACTGAAGTAATTGCAAGTAAAATATGCATAAACACAATTTATTTGGCACAAAATTGTACATCATTTACCGGAAAATAATGATGCTTCCAGGAGGAAAGTTTTCAAAGTTGATTTTATATACGTAGTCACTGCGATCTTTAGAAGTTACCTCTGTTTTAACAATTTTGCTGTCACTTAACTGGAAAATGAACATGAAATTAGCCTCTGAAACCTTTTCTGTTAACAATTTTATCAAAGAGCACAAGTGCCTTAATGCACTTTCATAACAATTTGTAGCCTAATATCATAAAGGGGCCAGCAAGCTGGATGGTTAGTACATGATTCAGAATAATGCCAACAGTGTGGACTCAATTTCTATTCGGGCCAAAGTAAGCTTTGGAAATCTGCCTCTCTGACCTCTGAGAATAGGAGGCGATGGCAGAGAACACAAGCAGTTTAAAAAAAAAAAAAAAAAGCGGCTGAGGCAACAGTTCAGGATGAAGCATCAACAGTCATGACCCAAGGATCTACTTATGGGTCAAGCATGAGATTAAATGCATGAGAAAATGAATAATACCATATAAATAGATGTGTTCTTCACCTGAGTGTGTTCATGGATATTCACTGTATATTGAGGTAATCCATTAATGAAATATTTATCTTCTCTGTAATCATCAGTTTCTCTATGCACGGTCATTGCTTCCATTATGATTTCAGTTATTTCACCTGTAATAAAAAAGTGGTGATATTGTGATGAAATAGGTAGAATATATCATTTTGGGCAAATCAATTTGACCATCAAGCCAGAAGAATATGGCTTATTTCTACGGTGGTTTCCTTTACAATAAAATCAAGGTCGGCATCCTTGTGCAACAGTGATTTCACTCCAGTATTGCTCAGAAAGCAAGTTGGTGTATATTCTCATGGTGTGTTAATGGAAATTTGTTTATACTGTACAAAGGTAGAGTCCACATTCAAGGCCATTAGCTTGATTTTAGTTCAGAATAATCACTGATTTTAGTTTAGAAAACCTAGAGACTGAATGTTTCTGCGGCTGTGCGGCGGTGGCCTGACTGGGATCAGAAGTTTAGTTTCTCTCCTTACAGGAGTTCAGGACTGTTCAGAGAAACCACTATCACCTCAGGGGAAAAAAAAAGTTCAGTTTGTGCAGCTACCAAACTAGTAGATCTTTGATTCAAAATCTGTAGGTTATTAGAAGCTGAGAAAGCTCAGGTTTTGAGAGTATTCATGCAAAAAGACTACAGCGAGCAGGGGAAAAAGTTCTGTGGAATATCAATTAAGTAGCAAGCAAAAATTTATTATTGAGGTAATTTCTCCGGAGTAGAATTTATTGAAGATCTTTTTAAAAAAAAAACACAACCATTCATGGGGTGTGAGCATCACTGGCTGAGACAGCAATTATTACCCATCACTAGTTGCCCTTGAGAAGGTGGTGGTATGCTGCCTTCATGAACCACTGCAGTCCATTTTTTTTTTTAGGTAGACTCACAAAGTACAAGGGAGGGAGTTTGGGATTTTGATGTAGCAACACCAGGAACTGCTACGTATTTTTAAGTCAGGATTGAGTGTGGCTTGGAAGGGAACATGCAAGTGGTAGTGTTTCCATGTCTCTGCTGTCCTTGTCCTTTCAAATATTTGTGGTAATGGGTTTGGAAGGTGCTGTTGAAGGAGCCTTGGTGAATTTCTGCAGTGCATCTTGTAGATGATACACACTGCTTCTACAGAGGGTCAGTGGTAGTGGGAGTGAATGTTTGTGAATGTAGTGCTGCTTTGTCCTGGATGGTGTTATGCTTCTTGCATGTTGTTGGAGCAGTCAAGTGGAGAGAATTCCATCACATTCCTGATTTGTGCCTTGTAATGGATGCACAGGCTTTGCAGAGTCAGGTGGTGAGTTTTTCATTGCAGCACTCCTGGATACGGTTGCATTTTGACAACTGCTTCAGATCTGGTGAATATGATTGGCACTGAATTTTCAGCAATTAGCAAGCATCCCCACTTCTGGCCTTACAATGGAGAGATGGCCATTGACGAAGCAGCTGAAGATGGCTGAGCCTAGGGCACTACCCGGAGGAACTCCTGCAGAGACACTCACGAGCTCAGATGATTGACATGCAACACTCAATCACCTTCCTTTGTGACAGGCATGACTCCAACCAGCAGACCATTTTCTCTTTGATTCCCATTAACACCAGTTTTGCTAGGTCATGCTGGGTCAAACGCTTGGTGTTAGGAGCAGTCATTCTCACCTCAACTTGGGAATTCAGCTGTTTGGCCATATTTGAACCAAAGCTGTAATGAGGCCAGGAGGCAAGTGGTCCTCGTTGAACCCAAACTGGGTGTCACTGAACAGATTAATGCTGAGCAGCTGCTGTTTGACAGCATCTTTGATGACACCTTCCATCACTTCACTGATGACTGTAGACTGATCTTGACTGATGGGGTGGTAATTGGCTGGATTAGATTTTTTTTCCCAGCTGGGCAATTTTCCACATTGTTTGGTAGATGCCAGTGTTGTAGTTGTACTGGAATAGTTTGAATAGAAAAACAGCAAGTTCTGTAGTCCTTCTCAGTCAGATTATGTTCAAGTAGGATTCTGCTGACGATGGTTCACAGTGCCTCATGGTTGTCCAGTCTTGAGTTGCTAGACCTGTTCAAAGTCAATCCCATTTTGCACATGACAGTGCTACACACCACAATGTAAAGTATTCTCAAGTGTGAAGAATGTTTTGTCTTCACAAGGACTGCATGGTGATAATCAGTCATACAGATACTTAGAATCATACAGGACAGAACAGGCCATTCAGCCCATCGAGTCTACTACGAGACACAGATTTATCTGCGGCAGGCAGATGCATTACAATGAGATCAAGAATGTTTTTCTCTTATGCTGGTTCCTTCGCCACCTGCTGCAGTCTCAGTCTAGCAGCTCCACTCTTCAGCACTCTACCAACTCGATCAGTAGTGGTGGTGCCGAGCCAGTCCTTGTGGTGGACACTGAAGTCCCCTAATCAGAGTGCGCTCTGCGACATTGGCACCACTCAGTGCTTCCTCAAAAGTAATGCTCAATATGGAGGAGCACTAATTAATCAGCTGAGGGCAATGTTGCGAAATTAGTTGAAACCTTTGGTTTGTTGTATATTTTAAGATTTTTCCAAACCGTCTTCGATATCTACATAGTTGGCTTTTTTTTTGTTGTTTTCCTTCCTTTTATGCAATAAACTTGTTCTGTTGTCTGCAGCTTTGAGTGACTATGTTTCAATGAATGATCACCATAATAGAAGTTTAAATAAAACTATGACCAATCAAACCAGGTTTCATTGAGATTTGATTGGTCTGGTAGTATCAGCTGTGATAATAACAGTATTGAATTTTCTCAGAACTTCTAACAAACCCAAGGAAAAAAGTTCACAACAAATAGATGTATTCCTACGGAGGAAGAGCATACACTATTGAGTCAAAACTGAAGTCTTCATAGTAATGTCTAAAATGCAAGTTAAAATGTCAAATTTACTGTTAGAACTCTCACCTGAGTCATGCAAACATTCAAGCCCAATAGTTGCATAATTTTAGTTACTTCTCTGTAATTCTGAAGGAGTGCTACACTGGTGAAGGTGAAGACTTTCAGATGAGGCAATTTATCTGAGGTAGTACCCATCATCTCTGTAGATGTACAGGATCTCATGGTACTATTTGGAAGGGATATGGAAATTCTTCCAATTTCACTGGCAACATTTATCTCTCATATATCCCCTTACCTCCTATTGTTGTCCACAAATTGAATGCTAAATCTGCCATCAAAACAGTGAATTAACTTTTCAAAAAAAAAAGTACCTCATTGGCTGTGAAACACTTCAGAAATATCTTAAAAGCCAGAATAAAATTCAATTCTTTTGCTTCTCAATTTATATATAAAAGTGCTGCATGAAACTTTGAATCAGTCAGTAAACTCCTTGTGCAAGAGCTGCTGTTTTGTTCCTAATTCATTAACAAGTTTCAATCCCAAGTAGCAGAGATTGGTAGGCAAAAGGTAAAGACTGGAAACCAAATTTCCTTTTTCAGGTACAAAATTACAATTGGCATTTATTTGGAGAAGAATCGCTGCTGAATCTCAGTATAATGTGTTAAGATATGATCTCACACAGAAATGCTCTTAAATCAGAATTATATGAAATTATATGGAAGAAAAGAGAAAAGAGAATGAAGTTGTGAACACTAATGAAAGACAAATAACATGTGTATTTTGGGGAGGATTTGGATTTCAATTCTCCACTCCTAATGACATTGCGTGTATACGTAAACCAAATGAATTTTAGCAGTTCAAAGCAGCATCCTATCACCAAGTCAGCTCAGAGGAAATCAGTTACACAGCAGAAGTCTGTTGTGTTGGAAAGCCAGGAGAGCTTGTGTATAAGTCTACAAGTTGTTAGAACTGAGGAAGCTTAGGCTATTAGAAGTCTGAAAAATTCACGTCATCAGAGTTGGAAAGGAATCATAAAGCAATCGATCTTAGCAGTTCAACAGAAAGTGACTAGGAAGGGTCATTAAAGTAGAAAGTTAAAAATCTGAGATAGGAGTGATATTTCTCTGGAATTGAGTATCTGTAAAAGTACGGTATTGGAAAAAGGGTTGAAACAACATTGCTCTGTTTACATTAAGACCTTTTAAATTATTGTATATCTACTGGCTCAATGGTTAGCACTACAGCCTTATTGCATCAGGGACCTGGGTTCGATTCCACCCTCAGGCAACTATCTGCGTGGAGTTTCCACATGCTCCCAGTGTCTGCATGGGTTTCCTCCGGAGGCTCTGGTTACCTCCGATAGTCCAAAGATGGCCATGGGGAATTGCCCATAGTGTCTGGGGATGTGCAGGCTAGGTAGGTTAGCCATGGGAAATGCAGGGTTACAGGAATAGGGTAGGGGAGGTGAATCTGGGTGGAATGCCTTTTGGATGGTCAGCGTGGACTCTATGGGTTGACCAACCTGCTTCCACACTGTAGGGATTCAATGTATGCCTAACTTTGTTTTCTTTCTCTTTGAATTAGCTCACATACTGTTGTTAAAGAACATCTGCAGCTGTGAGAATATTTTACAGTAACGAATTACATAAACCAATTTCAAAAATTAAGTATATGATCTATCGAGCCAGGTTTCATTCTGGGATCTGACTTGTCCAGTATTACTAGCAGCTGCGATCATAACAATATGGGTCATTGTATTTTTAATCAAGAAGTGATAAAATGAAGGTCATAGATTATTTTCACTTTGATAAAACAATCAACGTGTTTTTTTCTGATGAAGGGCCTAGGCCCGAAACGTCAGCCTTCCTGCTCCTATGATGCTGCTTGGCCTGCTGTGTTCATCCAGCTCTACACCTTGTTAACTCAGATTCTCCAGCATCTGCAGTTCCTACTATCTCTGATGTTTGTGTGAACTGGCTGTCAATTGAATAATGAAGGAGGTTGAGATAGTCAAATATTTCATGTATAAAATTTAGAAGCATGATCTATTATGTGCCTATGAAGCATGGTCAGACTTTGATAGACATAGAAAGATGGATGGTTATTCCAATGGAGGAATACATTGTGGAATTTAACAGGCTATGTAGGTCAGATTGCATTTGGTCCCTGTTCAGATTATTGGGCTTATTGGATTATGCCAAAATGTTGTATGCGGATAGGTTCCTGGTCTTAACTGGTGTTTGAT